TATAACTGAACGGCCTAGGCCCGGAAGACCTAGCATATATAGGCAATCCAACAATGGCTATGGCATACTTACCACTGCGAAAAATATATTTGCAAGTTTCCGAAAGTATTTGGAAATTTACTTAAATTTTACACACTTAAAATTGTAATCGTACAATTTTCGTTTGGTTCAAACTCTTCTTGATTTTACAACCTGACTTCGCAACTTTTACAATACGACTTTGTCAGTTTTCGAAACTCACCATGGAAATCTATCCCCTTGCAACCAAAGGATTATTTTTCGTTGTGTCAGCAACCCTCGGGCTACTCCCACGCGGAGCCCGTCGATCCTTTTGCACTGCGCTCGCGGGCGACTGAGATACGCCCAGGCGGGTGACTCACTTCGCTCGCCCGTTGAACCGTGAGTGCCGTGCCATACGACCATGCCTTGTGTTGTGAGACCGCGCAATTTCCCCACTAAAACAATGACCTGGCACTAAAATCGTGTTTTCATTTTAGTTTTGTGAATTTTCTTTCACCACCTGTCGTAACCCATGGCTGTAGCTTAGTTGATAGCCCCCACCCCACTACCCTCTCCCCTCAAAAAAAAAAAAAAATGGACTTCCCCGGGGAGGATTCGAACCTCCGACCGTTATTTAAGTAAGTGGATAACGCGCTGCCAACTGCGCCACCGGGGAGCTGTGTTGGGTGGAATGTCGAGTGGGATCAAATACAATAATCGGCGGGAGATAGTGGCCAGTGAAGGGGCGGGGACATTCATACCTGCCCGACGCCTTGTCCGGCACAGCTCCCCGGTGGCGCAGTTGGCAGCGCGTTATCCACATACTTAAATAACGGTCGGAGGTTCGAGTCCTCCCCGGGAAAGTCATATTTTTTTATTTTTTTGACTTGTTCGAAATTTTGTTATATTATTCATCGAAATCTGCGTTTGTTAATTAAACCACAGACTGGAAACATTTAGAAGGGAAACCTCGAGGGAAACTTATCAACAACTTTTTGGGGTCAGTGCATCTCTCTCTCTCTCTCTCTCTAAGTGTTGGTGCACTCACTGAGCTGGGCGTCCTCTTGAGCTGCATGGGCGCTCCTTCGCGTCCCCCTGCGGCTCAGGGGCGGCGGCGGCGGCGGCGGCGGTGGTGGTCCACTGGCGGTCGCAGGCACATGCAGGGGGTGTCGGATAGGAGTACACACACGGACGAGAGGGGCGAGCGAGTACGCCTCGTGCTGTTGGTATTGTTGAACGTCACCACTGCATGCTCGGAAGGGAGGCAGGAGACAAGCAGGAGAGGAGCGGACCTCGCCAGCCTAAACCTTTCGTTCCTTTTCGTTTTTCCCCCCGGATCTAATATATATTTCGCCTGGTCCGGGTGGCGCGGCCCGACGGCACACTGATCCCACGCGTGTGTTCTGCGCGCGCCGACTGACCGCTGACTGGAGGAGCCACTCCGGAGGAGCCCCGCGACCCTCCGGGGCCCGGGGCCCGTCCTCCGGGCGAGTCCTCCGGCAGACGGGCCGCCCCGCCCCGCCCCGCCTCACACGGAGGCGCGGACTGCCTCCGGTGTGTAGTGCCTTCATGAATGACTGAGAAACACCTCGCCGATAGAGCGGAGTGCGTTCTCAAATTACGTCTACTTTTTTTTATTTGTGTTTTCCATGTCCATGTCAATGAAGGATGGAATTCCAGCCGGTTACATTCTTTCCCTATAGTAGGAATGTTTTTACAAGAGAGAGAACAAATAAAGGGATGTAGAGGGGAGCACCTAGCCAACATTTTTGTCATTCCTTTTGTGTTGACCAAATTTCGCATGCTGTTGTAGAGGAGGCCACAAAGTTTTAGGGAGAGTGATCAAAACTTGGACGGGAGTGTAATGAGAATTTCCTCGCACCCCAGAAAAGAGGGCGTGACATGTGCACGTCACACGACAGTTGTTTTTTTTTGCCAGCAATTAGTTTTTGACCAAAATGAAAATGGAAGGGACAGGCAGACGGAAGGGGCCGGCCGCCGCGCCCCGCCCTCTCTCTCTCACCTGCCCGGGGTGAATCCCCGTGAGCTATAAACGCACTTTGAGAAGAGAGGGAGAGGACCGGGGGGAGAGAGAGGGAGACAAAGCGAGAGACAGAGAGAGACAGAGAGAG